TAAATAAATAAATAAATTTTTTTTAAAATACCCAGTGACTTACCTGAGAAATGAAGGTTGATTCTGAAAGTACAAAGGAAAAGTATATCGTGGTTGTTTTGTTTTATATAGTTTTTTAACATTATAAACACACTAGCTGCACAAATAAGTCATATTATGTTATAAGTATTAACAATATTATAAGTCTTTGTGCCGAAGATCATTTATGTTACAAGGGAGTAACATACAAAGGAAAGGACTAGAGGTAAGGACGAAATATGTTTTATGGGAAAGAAAGAGCACACCTCATTAAAACACCCTCTAAACCACCCACTCTGTGCTGTTTTTATGAATGCAGGTGAACTCTCTCCCACTGAACAATGACGCAGTCCATAGCCCCTAAACAGAGAACTGTGTGACATCATCGTGAAATCGTGCGCTCGTTCAAATAATGATTTAAAAAAAGAAACCGGCATTTTTCGGCAATTTGGCAATTTATCAATTTTTTTTCAGCAGCTTAACACCTTTTCTGCCAACTTATAAACACATTTCTCGGTATATTTTACTGCAATTTGCAATTCCCAAGGACAAAGTTTGGCGGCCATCTCTCACTAGTTTTACCTTAGATACCAAGCGACTCCCATGGTCTTCACTCGCAAATATCTCGACTTTTTTCGAGGTAGTGGGGTATTTTTTCCATCAAAAACACGTCAAATAAACAGGACTTAGAAATATACCAATCTCTCCATGTACCCAAACATTGACAAGGGCCTACACAGTTCCATAACGTCGTGATAGATTTTGTTCTGTCCATATGTGAGGCAGCGTGGTGGAATCAGGCTCTCGTCAATTTTTGGCATGTAGAGTTATTGGTATCATCTTAAAACTTGTTCACTTGTCTTTATTTGGATGAAAATAATATCCATTTATCTTGAATACAAGTCGAGATATTTCAGAAAGAAGGAGGAGGGGGTCACTTGTTTTCAGAGGTAAAATAGTGAGAAAATGGCCGCCAAAGATTAGTTATTTCCTTAGCTTAAGAGTCCGTGGTAACTGAAAATTTACATTTTTTGTGCCTTTATTAAACGTTTTTCAGATAAATCCACTCTGAAATGAGTTCTTTAATGGGTATGAAAGGTACTGAGACAAAAAATAAAGATTTATTGATAAAAATTCACCAACCTGCGGAAAAATGCAAGTTTCTTCACTTTAATTATTTTGACGAGAGCCTGATGCCACCACGCTGCCTCACATATTATTGTTATTTGAACTGTAGAGTGCACTTAGTTGGAATCACGCTAGGGCAGAGAATGGATGGCCCTTGTTCGAATCCCTAGCGGAATGTTCTGAATTTGGGTCGTTTTAGGGGGCTTCTAAGGCTCTCCAGCCATTTGGCACTATTCAATTGGAGGTGGACGTTACATTCGGAGGTCCTGCCTCTTAGATAAATGCACAGTGTTGAAAAGGGTGTTAAACCCATGGTTTCTCTTTGCTGAACACTCTCATATCTTATTATTTGAACTAGTATAAAAATTATAATTATTTCGTTTCTACCAGCCTTTTTTCTGTTTTGTTTGCTATTCGATTGAAATTTTCGTTTCCGTTGTGCTTGAAAACAGCTTTATTCAACACTGCACTACTTCACAATTACAAAGTTATATTCGACATTTTAGACCGTTTTAAGTTACTTATACCACGTTCTATCTGGTCTATCAAAATCGTAAGATTATTTTTGGAGTTGTTATCAAGGTACTCAAAGAATTGTATGAAAAAAGCTTGAATAATATTGTGAAACTCAAGATCTTTTTACCCCACATTTGTCAAAACTGGGCACTGAGCAGATAGAACTTTGTAAATCTGAGGTAGCGACGGGTAGTGACCCGAAAAGTCTCTATAGTAGTAGCAAAATTAAATTCACATAATCAAAGAAAACTTGTACTGTTTATCCTATATCTATCAATTATTTTTATAACAGTTTAATTATAACAACTTCTGCGTTTGATACGATTGTGCCAGCAGTTTGCACAAAAAGGATTTTTAAAAATCAAACTTGCAGTGTGCACTAATTCTGAATGGCTCAACAGCAATATGACACGCACTATTTTGGGGGTCAAAAATTCGTGGAGCGACTTATTGTCAAATATCTCCTCAACTATCGAACATAAACTCTCCAGCTTTTGCACAGTGACTTGTATCAATTTGTCTTAACAGATCAATATTTTTGTAAAGACCTGTTAGCTCTGTTCTAGAAAATTCCTTAACAAATACTAATACAAAATCCTAGTTGGTGGTTTCTACTGATTTTAATTAAAAGGTATACAGCTAGGACGATATTGCTTTTAAAAGCAAGTCCGTCATTTTTTGCTAATCGCGAGATTATCTTTATTTATAGAACGCATGTTTAGAAAAATTTTTGTGCAAGAAAGTGTTCACTATAAATTAATTTCTTGTTACTAGTTTTGCCACTAAAAAGTGTCAGTGGTGAGCTATGACGTAACCCATATGCGTATACACAATGTGCGTGGGGAGCGGGAAGTACTGTGAACAATTCTATTTTCCGCGTGAAAGAGGTTTCTAGTATATTATATAAATTTGTGAAGAAATGTTTCTTTTTAATCTAGCCTCAATTGTTCTGGAAAATTAATAATATGATTAAGCTAAGACAAACTGAGACACACTGATGTGCAAAGCATGGGAGACATTGATTCCCCTGTTCTAAGATATAATTTGAAGATAAGTTGCGCCACGAATTTTTGACCGCTCTATAAAACCCAGTGCCTCTTTGGGGATCCGTTCTCTAACACAAACATGTCCTCCGACAAACGCGTTTGTTTTTTAGGGTCACCGTTAGCTTTGTTCGGTTTGTGCCACGATGGTCTCTTTTCGCCCTCAATCTTGCTAGCCCCGCCTACCGAACCCAACCAAACTTATCGTGCTAATGGACACTGGGTTTAAAGCAGACTGATTTGTTTCATCTCCCACTGTTTGAACTGTTGAGTAAATCGTTTGAAATCAATCAGTGGTCAAGATACTTTGGTTAAGATATGGGTTGTCAAAGATACCGATTATCAAAACATTGATGGTTAAAAGTATCGGTCGTTAAAATAATATTAGATTTGTTTTGTTAGCTTGAATAAAGAGAATGAAAGTGGTACAGTAACTGTTATGAAATATAGGGAAAAGTGAGACAGAAAGACAGACAGACAGAGAGACAGACAGACAAGCAAAAAGACAGACAGACAGACAGCAAGACAGACAGATAGACACAGACAATTTACACACACACACACACACACACA